TATCCCCAGTTCCTCTGCAACTGAGGATGCAACCCCGGACCACATACACTGTAGAATTTACTATTGAAAAATACCCACGTATAAGTGGACCCATGCAGTTTAAACCTACGTTGTACAAGGGTCAACTGCATTCAGTTCACTCCCATGCAGGCACCTCTCCTGGCAATTTCTGGGGACCCCACTGCTCTACAACCAGTTCATTTCTCTCATCTGAGCAGGTGTGGGCCCTGGACTTTAACTCCATGACCCAGTGGCAGGCTCTGTTCACCCACACAAAATGCTCCAGACCAAGGGGGTATCTGCCCCCTCTCCCTCCTGCCCTACCCAGAAAAGTACTTAAGTTTGATGACCCTCCTTTCACTGCGGCTTACACTCCCAAGAGTAGTACGGAATGGAGGATCTGCTGATCCCTATCTGCATGCAGAGTGCTGACTGCCTGTGTTGTATGGTTTCACAGTCCCAGAAAAGGGCCCTGATGTCCCCAGTGTCTCTTATGTTTGCTCCTGGATGCTCAAGTTTCTTTTATTAAGGACTCAACTCTTTATTTCACAAAGAAGGGGAGACAACATGCATGATCTCCTATAGAGACAACAGATTTATACCACAGTGTAAATGATTAATACAAAGCCCTTGGGAGAGAAGGTTTTGATTGGTGGGCTGGAGAGAGAGTAGATAAATACTTGACTTTACAACAAGCTTATGCCTATGATGGTTAGACTTGAGGCACATAACAGTTCATCTCCTTCCCATTTCAAATTAGAAACCTAAGCCTCTGACATTATTATGTACCTGAAGGAAAGGTGGATTAAGAGCCAAAAGGCAGGGACCAGACTTCTAGCCCTTCCATTTACTAGTTGTGTGACCTCAAGAAAAAAGTCACGTTGCCACTCTGAGCCTCAGTTTCTTCACCTGTAAAATGGGGATAGGGTCAAATGGGAGAATGTGAGTGAAAGTGTTTTATAAATTCTAAAGCACTGGTGAATGTCAGGGCCACTGTCACTGATCCCAATAGAAGTAGCATCACTCTCCACCAGCACCCTTGTTCGGGGCTGCCCCTGGCAGGGGCTGCATTTGTACCTGCCCAGTGGGACTTAGCGTGGCCTGGTGTCTGCAGCTGGCTCCACCTGTCTGTATCTAGGCTGGGTCATTGTCCACTCTTGTACCCTCAGTGCTCAGCACAGGTTGGCACAGAACAGGAGCTCAGGAAATGCTGATTGAATCACAGTGACTTGGGTGCAGGCCCACAGCAAGTGGGAGCCCCAGCCGGGCTGGCTGCCCAGCCTTGCAGGGTTGGGGGGAGGGGTCAATCCCCACCAAAGCAAGTGTAGGCTTCAGAGGTGGTGCTGGGGCTGAAAGCTTTCTGGAACAAGCACCCGTAGTGACACAAAGTCTGTTCATTTCTGAGGCCATGGAACTTGAGCCCCCATCTCTGCCCACAACACAAGAAGGCAGCTAACAGCAGTCCTGGGAATGCACCGACACAGCCATGTTTGAATGGGAGGCTCTCCCTGGCTTCTTCCTAGGGCTCTGCAGCTACAGGTACGTGCATGCTTATGGCTTCATTTGATCTCCTAAGGCCTCTGGGAAGTGCTGGGGCTCAGGTATGAGGGGCACATCTGGGGCTTGACTGAGGCCTCACAAGTGAGGTCAGTCCCCTTCCAGGGGACCTCCACGGGCACCAGGAAGTCAATGGCCACTTTTGATCTTTTCTGTAAAAGGGAACGCCATACTCTTAACACAGAGAGCCAATGGTTTTCTTTAAAAACACTGTCTATTATAATCCCTCCAGAATAATTTGCTTCTAATTAGAAACATCCCATCACTTCAGTGGTGATTAATGCCTCTGGTCTTGAAACTGAAACATCTCAACTTCTGATAAAAAGACACGCTGTCCTAGAATGAAATGTGATTTCCTCCTCTCCCAGTTTCAGTGACACCTCCCTCCCCACCCCACCCCCAGGTTGAATACATGGGCCCAGGATTTAGTGGGAGAAAACAATGATTTGCACAGATCTGGAACTAGCTAATATCCCAGGAGGGCAGGCAGCTGCATGGCAGTTTCCAAACAGAGCAGAGCAGTAATACTGCCCTCAGCAGGGTTGGGAATGTGAAGTCGGCCTCTCGGATGGGATCCTGGTTAGGGTTCGGCCATTTGCCGAGGCTGGGGGAGGGAGAAGGGGCTCCAAATCCCCTCCAAGCCTGCCCTGCCTCAGCAAGGTTCTGTACAGGAAAGGCTGGATGCCAGACCCCTCCCGAGGGATGCTTGGTCCTTCTCACTTCAGGAAGTGCAGGACAGCACCTGTGTTGCATGTCTTTGGGCTGGCCTGTCCATCATCTCCCTGGAGATAGGCTTATCTTTCTCAACAGCACCTTAGGGCCAAGTGATAGGAGATTGCTTGGAAGGAAGATGTCAAAGTGTCCAGACACACTGGAAATCTGACAGTGTTCAGACTTCTTTCTACTTTCCTTTTGGGCAACTTGTTTGCTACCTTCAAAGTCTGGCATGTGGGAGGTTTGGATGCTGCTTACAGGAGCGTCATCCACGCTGATTGGTTTAAAAGTGCACTGACCCCAATTGTGTGACAAGGGCACAGCAAAAATAACACATCGATCAGAAAGTAAATCCAGTCTGAACAAGTGAAAATGTCAGGGGAAGATCCATCCCCTGGAATCCACTTCTGTCGGCCTGGTCACGCAGTGAGTGAGGATAAGGGCCCCATGGGACCGGTATCCATCCCAATTCTCCAGAGCAGGCACAGGGAAAAGCAATGGACAGATTTCTACTGCTGTGCTGGGGTGGGGGTGGGGGGTGTGCCAGCCTACCCAGTGATGGCAGCTGAAGAAGGCAGTGGCAGTGAGGTGAACAGCTGGCGTAGGGTCTCTCGGTTCAGTTCTATGCAGTCCCCACCACCGCCAACCCTTGTTTCCAGTGCGTGCACACGTGCACACACATATATACACACACGCTGACTTCCAGGTCAGTGTCCCTGCAGTTCTCAGCCAGGAAGAACTAGTCTGCCCTGGGCCCTGGCTCTGGCCAGACCTGCTTGGGGGGGGAGCAGCTGGCACCAGTCCAGGCCCAGTGCTCGTCCCAAAGGCTGGACGCACACTGATTGGATGCCAACCCCAGACAACAGCCCAAATCTGTACATGCCCTTGATCTTTCTTGTTCTTACTTCCAGGGATAGCTGATCAAGCTGGCTGTGGCAAAAGCAGGCACTGCGGCCTTCCAAAGCCCTACTGTCCTGAAGGCCAGGAGGTATTATTCTCTTCGGCTGGCTAGGAAGAGGAAGGCCAGCTAAAGGCTCTATTTTCCTGGAAGCCATGCCCGATGAGCTGTGGTGGGGGTAGTTTGCCAGAATGTGTGCCCACGTCCTCGGCTGAGGAGGGGGCCAAGTGCTGCATCAAACTCCTCAGGCACTATTCACATTCTTCCTTGGATGTCCTGCTGCTCCCAGGACCAGGAAGTACAAGGCACTTAGGAAAATAAAAGTGTCCACCTGGTCCTCAAAACCAGAACGATTAGGCTGGAGAAACCCAGGTAACGCCCATCTGCAGGGCACCAGCCCATTACGGCGACTCTGAGCCCTCACTCACTCTGTGTCCACCATGTGGACGGAGCTCTGAATTGGGGTTCAGAAGCTGGACTCTGTCAGAGAGGAGTGGCCAAGTCACTTAACCTCTCTGAACCTCTCCTCCCTCTTCTGTAAAACGGGGATAAGCACCCTCAAAGGAGAGGACTGGTGCTGGGCCGCACAGGGGTCACTGCAAAGAGAAACCAATGCTGGGGCCCCAGACCCCCCACGGGTCTGTGCAGCCCAGGCCTGAGCTGACCCCTCTCCCTCACCTCTGCTCCCTGCCCAGGGACACCTGTGGCCTCGGGAGTCACCCTTTACTAGTACAGGCTGTATTTAGGGTGTGACCACAAAGACCCCTCAACTATAATGACAGCTTTATTTTAATTCACACCTGCACATATGGAATCCAGGCAACATTATTCTGCCTGGCCAGGCAGGTAAATTAAAGCATAAAGTGGCTGAAGGAGTCGGGGGAGCTGGAGGACCGCAGTCCGCGGAGATGCACCCGCCCCTGCCAGGCCACAGGTCACAAAGGCCACGTGTGGATATAGGCCATGTTGCCAGATTTCTGTAGAAAGTTCCAAATCCAGATTTTCAGGTGAAATTTTCCCATTTTTAAATGTTAGCAATAAATTCCAAACTGTTTAAGATATTGCACAGGCCACACAAAGCCAGTGGCTCTCAGGCTGCCAGTGTGCAGCCTTCGAGCACAGATATCAAGAGAAACAAACGGGGAGCTTCCAGTTGCTGAGACCAAAGGGAAACACACTCTAGGCTCTCGTTGGAAGTTTTCATCAGAAAATCAGACATCAGAAATTTTACAGTGTTTGGGAAAAGGCTCTAGAAGACCCACTGGATGGTTCTCAGGGGTGACAATGGTATCTATCTCAGGTATGGGTCAAATATATCAGGTGAATGAATAAAGCAAGGGTTAAACAGCAGAGAACAAATGCTGTTTACTTAAATTCTGTTTAACTCTCCTGCCCCAAGGCTCTGGGAGATGCTGTCCTCAGTCCTCACCCCAAGGGCCCTTTCTCCTCCTGCATCCTCCAGGCCCTTGACCAAGGGTCCTGGAAACAATGAAGTGCTATTTGCCCATAGCCCCCTCTGCATCTGCCTGAGGACAGACTCCTACCACTGAGTCTCTCTCAATGGCAGGTGGCCAAGCCCACTGCAGGATGCACACGGGTCCCAGACTGGCACCCATTGCACCCCTTCCTGCTTTGGGGGCACTCAGTGCCCTTCTGAAGGCACACCATGTGGGGTCACCAGCAGGTGCAGAGTTGGGAGAGAAAGTGAATTCACCTGGTGAGACTGGGACCACCTTGTTAACTTGGGGCCCACGGTGAGAGAGCTGAGTTCCTTCCTCTTGAGTCGCAAATGCTGCCCAGGGCAGGATGGAAGCGCACACACCACACTCACCTTGGACCAGCCCCCTGTTCTCCACTCATAGCAGCCGGAGTAGTCCTCACAGGGCTCCTCGGCTCTTGGCCTCGTGGATGCGTCGCATTTTCCTTGTGAGTTGGTGCATGTCACAGTTCGTTTCTTTGTCCCTTTACCACAGCTGGCAGAACACTGCAAGATACCATTCCAGAGACTGAATCCAGTCCAATCTGGTCAAGTCCATCAACACCTGAACATCTGTTAAGTACCTACCATGTACCAGACCCAGTGCTGAGGATGCAAGGATGGGGATGCTACGTTTCAGACCTCAGAAAGCTCCTGGTCTTTTAGAGTCTTATGCACATGTTCCGAGCTGGCTCCTCCCAGCTGGCCTCTAGGTACCCATGCTGAGCCAGCCTGGGGCAAAGGGGGTGGGGGTGGGGGGCGTGCCAGCCTACCCAGTGATGGCGGCTGAAGAAGGCAGTGGCAGTGAGGTGAACAGCTGGCGTAGGGTCTCTCGGTTCAGTTCTATGCAGTCCCCACCACCGCCAACCCTTTTCAGGGGGGAAAAGGAGGAGATGGAAAGCAAAGACACAGGTGACTCTGACATAAGGCGGTTGGCAAGCCCTGCAGAGAGCTCTAGCGATGGTTTTAATGTCAATGCCAAGAATGGTAACAGGGCAATGTTCCCTGTGCTATTTTTCTTCCTGGGAAACAGCAAGAGATGGTGTGGGGAGGGGACCTGAATAGTGTCTGAGGGGTGACAAATGATGCGTGAGCCCTGAGAGTTCAAGATTCCCACGACATCAGGCAGCACGATCCACAGAAACAGTGACAAGAGGTGGAGGGGTGACAAGGCATAAACATGGCAGACTTGGGGGTGGGTCTGGAGCCTGTTCCTGGAGTGTTCCCAGCCTACCCGCTGGGCTTGGGGAGGGAAGGTGGCTGGCTCGCAAGAGTGAGTGCTGAGTGCTTACCCACTTCAAAACAAAGCACAAGGAAGAGTGGACCCTTGACCTTGGGAGAACATGACTGACTTGACCAGCAAGCAGAGGTGACATGGCCTGGGAACCTGGGGAGCCCACACTTTGATTTGTTGTGTGCGGAAGCCTAGTCCCTACCATGGAAGCAAATACGTAGCTCGCAGAGATGGTGGGCTGAAGGCTGGATTCCACCAAATGAACTGACATGATGAGACCCACTCTGCCTGAGGAAATTCTGAGGGGGATTTCCTCCCAGCAGCTGGGTCCCAGAGATACCATGGGGGGTGCCCAACAGCCGTAGTAGCACAAATGGAGCCCCAGCAACTCTAACTTCTGTTTTTACACTTGCTTGATTTACCAAAAATATGGGAGGCTACAGCAGTGATTTTTCTTGAGCTACAACAAACTTGACTTTTAAAAAGTTCCACTATGTCCACTGAAAAAATGCACATAGAGGACAAATATCATTCTTTATATTTGTTATTAACATTTACCTCAAAATGCTATCTAGCTTTATTTTTCCTATGAATTCAACCTAGCTCTTCATCTGCTGGTCCTGTTCTTATTTATTTATTTGAGACTAATTTAGACTAGTTTGTTTTAGAGAAATACACATGCTTCACAGGCAGTTGTGGTATAACCTGGGGGGAATTTGGAGAGCTCATGTATTTGATCTTCTGTGTGGGTTTTAAAGGGACTTCCTTGGTGCTCCACTGGTTAAGAATCTGCCTTCCAATGCAGAGGACGTGGGTTCAATCCCTGGTCGGGGAACTAAGATCCCACATGCTGTGGAGCAACTAAGCCCGCGCGCCTCAACTAGAGAGCCTACGTGCCGCAAACTATAGCGCCCACGTGCTCTGGAGCCTGCGCACCACAACTACAGAGCCCACATGCCGCAAGTACTGAGCCTGCACACTCTGGAGCCCACATGTCACAACCAGAGAGAAGCCTGTGCGCTTCAACGAAGAGCCTGCACTCTGCAACAAAAGATCCCGCATGCTGCAATGAAGATCCTGCATGCTGCAACTAAGACCTGATGCAGCCAAAAATACATAAATAAAATATATTTTTTTAATTAAAAAATAAATAAAACAAAGGGACCTGGAATGCAAGGAGTCAGTCCCTGGCAGGCTTTACCCACAGGGCCTCCCAGGGCAGAATGGGTGGGGCCTGGAGGGCTGCTGCAGGAACCCCTGGGTTACTGCATTGAAGGCCCATCTTTCTGCTTCTCTATGTGGCAATGCTTTCTGACCATTTCATCAGCTCCACGCTCACCGTCTGCCTCACGGCCTCCTCCCTGGCAACAGCACCCATACCACTGGTTCCTTATGCAACTAGGGGCCTACTCACCACTTCTGCCTGAGTTTCTGCTTGGTTTCTCTCTACTCTGTGTTCCTTGCCTCTTCCCTTGAATTTTAAACCGTCAATATCCAGCCTGTTTCTTGACCAAACCCTGGGCTGGCCCCTTTTGACCAGAAGCCTATTGGTTGGAAGCCTTCAGGAAGGGCAGTGCTGCAGGCTGGGGTCACCTTGGAAGGGACCTAGGAGGGTCATGTTCTGCTTCTCTCTTGGCTTCTGATCCAGGGATGGGAACAAGAAGTCGAGGACAGGAGAGAGCTGCTACCTTTTGCTTCCTTCTCAATATTTTTTTCCTCATTCTAATGAAGTTGGGAAGAAGTTGGGGAGTAGTGGTGACAGTGATCAACACTGCTGGCTGAATACAGGCAAGCCCATCAATAAAAACACACCCACGAGAAATTTAAACCTATTCGTTTCCAGAAGAAGAAATGTTAGAGGGGCTTCTGTACTTGGAAAAGTGGAAGGAATACCAGTTTTGTGAGCATCTCATGGAGGAAAGATTTGATTCTGAGTCAGATGTTTAGAAAAAAGCATTTTGCTTGAGCCTGAGCTGAGCCAGAATTAGACTGATTGGTGTGGATACTATTTCAGGATTAGGATTAGGCAACACATAGATATAGGAATAGGGATGGAGATATTTCTTTAAATCTTGCTCCAATTGTCTCACACTTTCCAAAATGGTGCTCTTCAATACTATAATGATAGTTGATTATGTCAGCCTCGTTTATTTTGTTAAGGAGGCATTTTTCCCCCATAAGAGACCTATAAATGGAAAATTTATGGTTTTGATCTGATAAAGCATAAATCTTGTTTGGATCAAGAACCAGGTGATCAAGGCTCATGGAAAGAGAGAGAGACTGCACACCTGCCCCTAACCTTCTAGCAGGCATCCCCCTCCCCAAAAGTCCATTGAATGTTAAACTTATGAACCTAGGTACATGTAAAGAAAAAAATTTTTTAATGTTAAAACTCTGTCCTTTTCCTAAAATATCTTAAAGGATAGGCAAAAAACGCCCGTCTTTAAATGGGTACACGTCAAGATCTGCCTAAAACGTAAACTCAGTTTTAGAACAGCCAAGGGCAGACTTTTCGTTCATTAAAAATGGGCTGAATACTTTCTTATTCAAAATAATTCCAACTGCTTGGCAATAAGAAGGAACTTTAAAAATATTTTCCACACTGAAGAGTGTCTTGGATTTAGCCTTTCTGACTTTCCTAGAACACGTTTGATGGAGGACCTGAGGGAAGCTTGCCCTTTATTCAGCTATTTTTTTTGTTTCATAGCCAAACAATCAAAATCATTAAATGCAAACTCAATGCCAAGCCTTGAAGGATGATATTACCGAAGATAAAATATTTCTAGGATCAATCTTCAAAGTTAAAAATTAAGGCTTAATTGACCTCCTTCCAAAATGTGTTATGGCATGAGATTTGTAACCGGCTCACACACTAAACACTGTCCCTCCCAACATCCTCCTGCCTCTTGCAAAGGCAGCTCCACAAAGACTGCCATGGAAATGCAGGGAAGCCTTTGAAACCACGTTCTCAACCTGACCACCCTACAGTTCCAAAGTGCACAAAAGAGATTAAAAGGTGTCTGTTTGTCTACCTGCCTACCTACCTATCTCCTATGTATCTATCCATCCACCCACCCATCCACCCACCCATCCATCCATCCATCTATATTTACATGAGAATTTTCACAGGAAATGGGACCAAACAGTACTGTGATATACATTATCAAAAAAACACACTATCCATGTTTTTTTGGCCATGTTGATATCTCTCATGGAATTTGAGAATATGTGACTTAGAACATGGCTTTGAGCTCCTCTGGGGTCTGGCTAGGACTGTGATATGTGGGGGTTTGTCAAAAACAGCAGGGAGGGAAAGGAACCATTTTGGGGTTGCTACAAACAAGGCCCCGAGGCCCTGGTGGTGGTTTCAGCACTGGCAGCAGCCCAGGCACCCACCTGTGACCACTCTGACGCCTCCCAGATGGACAGGCAGTCCTGGCCTTCGCAGCTCTGCACTGCCGATGGCCGGGGCACTGGGCAGTAGAGGGGCCGAGTGGCGACGTGTGTGCCATTCTGCAGCTGGTACATGCAGGTCACTTCCCGGTGCTGGATGCCCTTCTCACAGGTCGCTGAGCAGGGGCTCCACGGGCCTGCCACCCACCTACCCGGAAAGAGAAAAGACAGTGAGAGAACAAAGGGCCTTCCAGACAGATGGTAGAATTGTGGGCCTGCTGTGGGAGGGAAAAAGACAGACTCAGCTTTGTAGTCGGCTTTGGAAATAATTCTGGAATATCAGAGCAGAATATCAGAGCTATCTGAGTAGAGTGGTTCAGTGGCCTACTCAGTACAGAAATCTTTCTGCAACTGCCCGCATCCCCCGCCCCCACCCCACGCCACAACGGCAGACTGAGTTATTGTCCCTACGTCCCCCTCTTGCTGTCTTGTGCCATCTTTGTTCAGTGGGGTGAGTGGATACGAAGCTGGCCACATCCCAGCAGAAGCTTTGAGTTACTATGTGGTTTGTCTCTCACTCTTCATGTCCTCTGCCATGAGAACAGCAGGTCCAATACAGGGGCTTCCTGACTGCTGGGCTCTGTAATAGCATGATGCTGTTGTGCCCCACAGAGATATTGGGGTTGTTTGTCACTGCAGCAAAAGTTGACTGGCACAGCCCTCGACAAAGGACACCCCAGTCCCAGCTTAAACACACCAGGACTCCCTGCTTTCCAAAGGGTGGCGGGACCTCCTAAGTGGGGACTGTCATTCTTGAGGAGGCAACCTGGGGGCCGTGGGAAGACTAGGCTGCTGAGGCCATCAGCTGAAAGTGCTCAACTAAGACTTTGTCTACCTGACTAATATTTCAATGATCCCAATTCTCTGTTGGCCTTAGGGTGCTGGAAAGGGGCTAGGCAGTTTGGGAGTGATGATTTCTCAGGACACAAACAGGGCTTTGAACGCCCTTTTAAAGACTCTCTGTGCTCTGGTTCCTGGACGAGCCTCAAATATTCCCAGCTCCCAGGAATATTCCCAGCTCCTCACTACTTAACAAAGCAGATATTTACTACTTAACAAAGCAAATATTCCCAGGTCCTCACTACTTAACAAAGCAGTTCCATCTGGATGGTCAGCCCTGATAACCACTCAGTTCTCACATTAGTCAGACTCGTCCTAAATCCCACTTGAAACCAAATCTAATGAGGCCATCCCACTGTTTGCAAACATCTAGGTTCTGATGATGAGGCAGTGAATGAAACAAAGCCCTGCCCTCTGAGTCTTCCTATTCTAATGGGGACAAACAGTAAACGGATGAACAATGTACAACAGAATACAACATAATGTAATAGAGTGTATATAACATATATGCAGAGAGAATATGCAACACCATAGTAAGTGCTTTAGAGAAAAGTAATACAGCACAGGGCAGATCAGCGAGGAGATGAGGGAGGTTGGCACTATTTTATTCAAGGTGTCAGGGATGGCCTGGCATTTGGGCAGCAACTGGAAGGAAGTGAGGCATGAGCCCTGTGCTCTGTGGGAGAAGACTTGTAGGCAGAGGGCATAGCAGGTGCAAAGGCCCTGGTGGAGGGGTGTGCTGGCAGGGCCGAGGGGCAGCCGGGAGTCCAGTGTGGCTGGGGGAGGGGGTGAGCAGGAGAGGGAGGGGCATGAGAGGGAGCAGGGGGAGATTACACAGGGCCTGGCTGGCTGCTGTGGCTCTTGCTTGAATGAGATGCAGTCCTGGAGGGTTTGGAGAAAGGAAGACACGCCTTCCAGGGCCACCCTGACTCTGTGTGGCTACCAGCCTACAATGGGTAGGGGTGGCAACAGGGAGAGTGGGGAGGAGGCTACTGCAATGGTCCAGGTGGGAGATAAGGGTGGCTTGAACCAGCTGGGGGTAGTGGAGGTGTTGGACTAATTGTTGAGAAGATGGGGCTACCCAGGCCCCTCCCTTCATCCCGACATGGTTTCTCCTTGTCCATTAGGGCAAGCTCAGGCCACCTCATCTAGAGCTCATCTCCAGTCCCCTTGGCAGAGCTCATCACTCTGCCCTTCATGGCCCAGGGACTAATGCTAGTGAAGCTCCTCTTGTCAGACCCCTTGCTCATGCTGCACGGGATGGAAACACAGTGCTGGCCTCGGGATATGAGGACAAGTAACATACTGCCTGCAAATTGCTTATGGCAGCACCTGGCACACATAAGCCCTATAACATAACTAGTACTGTCATTATTTTGTGTTTCCTTGGTGGGAAATGGAGACTTCCCACATGCATGCAGCCTTGCTCCCATTTCAGTACCTGACAACTGCTTAAACATCACCGAAAGAATCAAACCAACTTCTACCCATTTTGTTCCCCTTTTAAGTTTTCTCTTCTCTTGATCAAAATAATTTGCAGATTCTCAATCCGTTGTAAGTCTCTAATCAGTCACTACTGTTCTTAAAATTGACTGATTTGTCATGGACAGTATGGTCCAGATGTGATCTGAAAGCAGCAAGAGAGAATGTGATGATCTTTAAATGGGGACTTGTTTTCATGAATACTCCCCAGCTCTGTACTATTTCTTTTCTTTTTTTAAAGCAAGCACATTGTACCTCTGTTAGCACCTACTATGTTTTTCTCTCTCATGAACTGACTCTCAGCCAGATCTCCTTTGTCCTGGCCTTTTACAATTAACTTTGTGAATATAAATGTTAGGTTTTAGGTTGAGACCTGTTCGGCATTATTGTGCTGACCCCAACTGTGAAATGGCTTAGAATCCTGCTCCTGTCTTTTGTATTTCCTGTGCTTCCCAGGGCCAAGCCTCGGAAGTGGGACCTCTATGTCACACACATGGGACTGTCACTGCCCTGGGCATGCGTGCCATTGCCATAGGGTACCAGCATCTCCATTCCTGGCCACACAATCAGAGCATGTGTTCTAGGGAATGTAGACGCCAACTCTGTTCACACAAAGGTCACATCCAGGACACCTGGGGGAATGGTGAACTGCTGGGAGGACTCAGCAGTCCTGCCTCGGGGGCTCCTCCAGCCCCATCACTGGCTGGAAAAGTCAGATCTGTGGGGGTCAGATTCCCGTAGAGCTGGGAGGGACTGCCAGCCCTCCAGGTTCTCCTTTCCTTTACCTCTGGTGTCTGGTGCTTTGCAAAAGGGTGACAGAATGGAAAAGAGCCCATGCATCCCTCCTCCTCTTTCCGGAAGAATCCTCAGACCTATCCCCGCCTGAAACGCGTGACGAGCCGCCGACAAGAGGGCCCTTTGTCACAGGTGCACCTGCTTCAGGTTATCGGAGCTATTTTTCAGCTGGACCTTTTTGCTTCTGATCTTGAAAAACACCTCAGTGAGGTATGGGGAGAAAAAGTGGCCTTCCTAAAACTTCATTTTTGGTGGCTGAAAGAATCCACTTCCCCTGAAGGACCTTGGCTGCAGGAGGCCCATCTAGGGCACTGGGATGATGTCACACACCCAGACATCAGAGTAAAATCCCATTGATCCCAAGTCTAGTAACTTGGGAAAGGCCTGCAGTTCCACACAACAATGTATATTACAATTACAATGTAAGCCTGAGCTTTTTTCACTCTTATCCTCTAAAAACCTTAACAGTGACATTCATTAGCCAAGTTTGAGTTAGCAGTCCTTCTTAAAAGCAATAAAACTGTAATTCTTGCTGAAACCACCATTAACACTTCCCTAATCCAGGCCCCTCCCCTGTTCCCACGGGGTCAGGACAGCCTCTCCTGTCCAGCACAGGTGTAGCTCCTCTGTACATACTTCAAGTTCAATCATTCTAATCAGGTACAGTTTTCCACCATTATCTGTGGTTTCACTTTCCCCAGTTTCAGTTACTAGCAGTCAACCACGGTCTGAAAACATTAAATGGAAAACTCCAGAAATAAACATTTCCTAAGTTTAAACTGCACGCTGTTCTGAGCAGTGGGATGAAATCTCCCACCATCCCAATTGGTCCCGCCTGGGATGTGAACCTTCCCTTTGCCCGGCTTATCCATGCTGTATAGGCTCCCTGCCAGTTAGCACAGGAAATACATAGTATATAAGTATCTATAGGGTTCAGTACTATCCTGGGTTTCAGGCATCTACTGGGGGGCTTGGGATGTATGGCCCGCAGATGAGGGGGGACTACTAGGCTTTGGACAGCTCTGTCACTACCTGAGACCCTATATTCTTTTTTAATTGCTGCTGTAGCAAATTGCCATAAACTTAATGGCTCAAAACAGCACAGATTGATTATCTTACATTTCTAGAGGTTGGAAATCTGATGTGGGTCTCACTGGGCTAAAATCAAGGCGCTGGCAGGGCTGTTCCCTTCTGGAGACTCCAGGAAGACTGCTTCCTTGCCTTTTCCAGCTTCTAGACACTGCCCCAATTCCCTGGCTTGTGGTGCCTTCTTCTGCCTTCAAAGCCATCAACTCAGGCCGAGTTCTTCTCACATCGCATCACTCCAACCTTCTCTTCTGCTTCCATCTTCTGCTTTTAGGACCCTGTGATTACACTGGACCCACTCAGATAATCCAGCATAAGCCGGCTGATTAGCAAACTGTATTAGTTTGCTAGAGCTGCCGTGAAAAGTACCACATGCTGGGTGGCTTAAAACAACAGAAATTTATTCTCTTACAGCTCTGGAGGCCAGAAGTTAAAAATCAAAGTGTTGGCAGGGTGGGTTCCTTCTGAGGACTCAGAGGACTCTGTTCCATACCTCTCTCCTGGGTTCTGCTAACATCTTTCATGGGAGACCCATAACGACCTAATTCCACCTGTAACTCTAAGTTTCCTTTGACAAGTAACCTAACATTTTCATCCCACTGCTCAGAACAGCGAGTTCCAGGGATTAGGATGTAGACATCTTTGGGGGTCATTATTTTGCCTACTACACGCATCACATTAGCAGTCCTGAGAAATTTTATCTTACATTCAAAATTCAGTTTCTATCCAAGTCTTGATTTGGCTGAGACTTAAACTAGGTAAAGATCTCATGAAATCTGCTGAAATGTGACAGTCTCACAAAGAAACAATGGCATCTTCAGGATCGCATTCTTCTAACACAGTTATTTTATGTTGAATATAAAGTGAATCTCAAGTATAGATAACCAAAAAGAGTACACTGGTGGGTCATTTATTTTCAACAACTTCAAATTGTAAAAAAATGTA